TATATGAATATGTAAATATCTATATATATATATAAATCGCAGAGGAAGCGCTGCGCGCGACTATAGCGTGGTCTCACTGCCCATGTCCCGAGGTGGTTTTTCAGTGTCGGTGTCCTCGTAGTCCGACTCCATCTCTATCTTCACCTGGGGCACGGCGCAGATGGGGTTTCGGGAGTAGTTAAATGCGGGCGACGACGGGCACGAAATCTTCAGGTGAAGCGTAATACTGGGGAGGAGACAGGGAGGTGAGCATCGGGGCGTGGGTACCTGCACCCCAAAACCACCCCAGCACCCCCAGCAAAGGGCTCCGGATGATGCTACCGCCGGTAAAAATTCCTAACAATATGATATTTTTGCCTTTAATACAGGCAATCTGCAGCATTCGCAGCTGCAGCTGGAGAATAACACCAAGCTTTTGGGATTCAGATGTACATCCCAATCCTAAAAATCCCTGTGGCTGTTACCCAGCGGCATTTTTATGGCTATAAACCCTCTCGTGCCAGGCTCGGGATGCGTCATCCCACGCAGCCCCGCTCCCAACAACCCGATACCCGGGGCCAGCAAACGCAAGCACCCAAAAACCAGAGGGATGCTGCAAAAAATATACTTGGGTATTTCAGAAATGCCCGAGGATGATGGCAACCGGCTCGAGTGAGCGACGCTCGGCCGGGAGCATCGGCCGGTGACCCCGAAAATGTTTCCCACGGCGGGTGCTGGTCCCCGGGGCGCGGGGGAGCCCGTTCGGTGCCGTTTACCTGCGATCCAGGTCTGAACCGTTCGGGGAGGAATCAGAACGCAAAGCTCCAGGTGGAGGACCTCTTTCCTGGGGGGACACGGAGGTGAAACACTTCCCAGGTGAGGAAGGAGCCCCCCAAAAACCCACTCATCCCCCCCTCCAACCTGCTACCGGGTCCAGCATCCTCCGGACTGTGGGAGGAGGAGAAAAGCTCCCGAGAAATGCTGAATTTTGAGGTGCTTAGAGAAAGAGAGAGGCCCCACCAGCCCCTGCTAGCAGCAGCTTGAGGATAGAGTCAACGAATTATCGCGTTAAAACTTGCTGGCATCACGATGCAACCTGGTGCTGACCTGGAATAAACTCACTCAGATTTATTCTGAATTTTTTTTGGTCGTGGCTGGCTTTGCACCAGCTCACGTATGAAGTTTCGGGCAGAAGGCTGAGCCAAATGGAACACATCTGCTCTTCCGCAGCTGGGACAACGCCGCCACCAGCTCTGCATCCCCTGCTTTTGGGGGCTCAAAACCTTCCCTAATATATAGATTTTTAAAAAATCCCCATCAGCATCGGCTCAGGGGGAGACCCAAGGGAGTCCTGGCTTCCCAGTCACCTTGAATACAAAATTGTTAGCAGCACCGAGCCTGCCGCGTCCTCTCAAAGCTGCTTTCAATACGGCAAACCCTCCTCCCCACTTCGGCGGGACGGATCCAGGCTGCGTCTCTCAGCGGGGTTAGTGCCATGGGGGGCCGAGCGGATTAGGAAGCGGTAGGGAATGCGAGAGAAGCTCCTGAGCTCTTTACTTACGGCTGAGGCAATGGGGACCCCCGTTTCGGGGCTGCGATGGCAGGGGCTCCATGGGGATCTTAATGACTGAGGGAGGTGGGAACTGGGGAAGAAAGGGGGGAAATTTGGTGAAGGCAGCATCTGGGTGGGCTCCGAGACCACCTGGAGCACCCAAAGGGACCCAAAACCTCCGCAGGTGTGTGCACGAGGAGGAGGAGGAAGCTTTGCCTTCCTCTTCCCAACTAAACTCAGCCCTTCTGCCCAGGGAAGGGTCTGCAGCAGGGGGTTGCACAGGTTAATGATGCTTTACCACCGTACGACGGGTGCCGTACCCTTAGCCGTGGGATTTTGGCTCTTTTCCCTAAGGATTTCATTTTTGCCATGATTTTCCAGCTTTCTGGACACTCTGAGCAGCCCTTGGAGCCTCCGGCCAGCCCCTGAGCATCACTCAAAGGCCCTCAATCAGCCAGTCCTGTACACACAGCAAAACCCCTCCATGAATCAAAGACCTTCATCCCAAACGCACCGAGCTGGAGGTTTCGGTGGGACCTTTCCCTCCCCAGCCAAGCTGGGATGCCCCCGCCGTCCGTGGGAGCCCCCCACCCACCTCCTCATCGCTGCTGCTATCTCCTTTGTTGCCTTTTTTCTTCTTCTTCTTGTCATCCTCCTTCTTCTTCTCCTTCTCGGGGATGATGTTGTCAATCCAGGCCAGGTCGTGTTGGGAGAAGACAAAATCCAGCAGCCGCCTCACCAGGATCAGGGCTAAAATCTAGGAGGGGAGAGATGCAAGGGCGGGATCTGCAAGAGCATCTCTCATCCCGACACCTGGGGACCACCACGGGACCAAGCCAAAATTTCCTTAAATCTCAAAAAAAATCTTCTAAATGAGGCTGCAACAGCAACCCCGGGGAATGGCCTTACCATGACAGGGAAGATGATGGCGGCCACGGTGGACTTGAGGATCCAGAGGACGGCCAGGCAGATGATCTGCACCAGCGTGAAGAGGTGGATGCGGCGCAGCGGCACGTGCCGGAGGAAGACGTAGTCAGGTTGGTGCTTGGCCGGCATGAGGAAGAGCTTGCAGCGGTCCCAGAACTGCGGTGGGACGAAGGCCGGCGTTAGCCCTTGGCCCCATTCCCCAGGCTCCCAGGTTGCCTAGATAAACCCTCTTTTGGTCCCCAAAATGGAGAATTTGGGGCTTTTTGATGTGTCTCAGTGGGTTTCAGTTATCTGCTGTCCCATGCAGCTGGAAATGTTGGACGCGTGCAAATTCTGGAGTCAAAATCCCCCTCTGTCCCGGTGTAGGAACCCTTCATGACCATTAAGGAGGAAGAGGAGGAGGAGGAGGAGGAGAAGTGCTTACCTGGATGCCGTTCAGCGACGCGACGCCCATGTACAGAAAGACGCCGTACAGCACCGGCATGGGGATGTACTGGGGACATGGAAAAAACACGGCGCTTACCCCAAGGGAGGCGGCAGCTCATTCCCAGGGATGGGGACCAACGCTGGGGGCCACGGAGTGGGGAATCCAGCTTTTTCTTCCCAGGTCCCCAAATATCTGCAGGGAGGGAGCCAGGGATGGGGGAACGGGAATGTTTTACCTTCAGGATAGGGGCCAGGAAGACGGAAATCCCTGTCAGCACAAAGACGATGATGCCCGTCACTCTCTGCTCCCTGGAAGGGCGAGAGAAGCAGGATGAGGCCGTGCTGGCTGGACACGCTGCTGCGTCTGGATTCCGCCCCCCGCCCCGAGGAAGAGCACGGCCGAGCCTTCCTCACCTGACCCCCAGGAACTGGGGCTGCTCCCCCGGCGCGCTGGTCTCTGTCTCCATCTTCAAGCTGTCGATGTGGGCGATGGAGATGACGGTGGCCGCCACATACCAGGGCAGCCCCATGAAGGAGCAGACGGCCATGAGGATGCCCACCCAGAAGAGGTCCAGGTGGTAGCCCGCTGCTTTCTGCAACACAGCACCCACGAGGGTTGGTGGGGCAACACGGCTCGTGAAGCTGTTCCTGCATTCACCCCAGAGCCCAGCAAGGCGGGGTTTCTCCTGGGATGCACCCCCTGAAGCACCCCGCATCGCCATGGTGCACCCTGCATCGCCATGATGCACCCCGCATTGCCATGGTGCACCCCTCATTGCCCTGGTGCACCCCACATTGCTACAGTGCACCCTGCATCGCCATGATGCACCCCACATTGCCCTGATACACCCCAGATTGCCATGGTGCACCCCACATCACCATGGTGCACCCTGCGTTGCCCTGATGCACCCCGCATTGCCATGGTGCACCCTGCATTGCCCTGATACACCCCTCATTGCCCTGGTGCACTCCACATTGCTACAGTGCACCCTGCATCACCATGATGCACCCCACTTTGCCCTGATACACCCCAGATTGCCATGGTGCACCCTGCATCGCCATGATGCACCCCAGATTGCCACGGTGCACCCCACATCACCATGGTGCACCCATCATTGCTGCAGTGCACCCCACACTGCGCTGCTGCACCCCATGTTGCCATAGTGCACCCTGTATCGCTGTGGTGCACCCCGCATCACCCCGAAGCACCCTGTATTGCCGCAGAGCGCCCTGCATCGCCCTGGTGCACCCCACTTTGCGATGATATACCCTGCATCATCCCGAAGCGGCCTGCATCACCCTCATGCGCCCCATATTGCCACAGTGCAGCCTGCATCAACCCCACATCATCCTGAAGCACCCCGCATCACCCTCACGCACCCCACTGTGCCATGGTACGCTCTGCACCCCCCCAGCGCACCCTGCATCACCCATCATTGCTGCAGTGCACCCCGCATTGCCATGCTGCACCCCGCATTGCCATAGTACACCCTGCATTGCCATGCTGCACCCCGCATTGCCATGCTGCACCCTGCATTGCCATAGTACACCCCGCATTGCCATGCTGCACCCTGCATTGCCATGCTGCACCCCGCATCCCCCCGCGGCACCCTGTATCGCTCTCATACACACTGCATCACCCTGATGCACCCCACGCTGCACCCTGCATCACCTCGCTGCACCCTCCAGTGCTGCAGCACACCCCGCATCACCCCACTGCACCACACTACCTACTGCATCGGGTGAATTTAACGCCCCGGAGGCTTTGTCACCCCAAAAATACAGCTTGCAAAGGAAAGGGCGAGCCCCTGCTTCGCACGGCGTGCCGAGCGGGGGCGAGCCCCTCCGTGCCTTGCGGCAGCACCCGACCTGCACCCCAAAAGTGGGTGCTCGCAGGGACGCGGGCGGTACCCGATGCGAAGCTGTGCCCCCGAGCATGGGACAAGTCCCGGCTCCCCCGCAGCTTGTGCTCCTTCCTGTTAACGATGACGGCCGTGATCTGCTGGTCCATGAAGATGAGGATGGTGACGAGGAGGGCAGGCAGGGCGCTGGCCAGGTAAACCCACCACGGGTTCTTCCCGAAGGGAAACACGAACCACCCTCGGTCCACGCGGGTGGGCTGGGGGGGAAGAGAGGGGGCTTGGGCACCGCGGCCGAGCCTGGGCACGGCTCAGAGAGGGGGAAAAACCCCAAGTGCCGACATTTTGGGAAGCCCCACATCCCCCCTGAAGCCCATTTCCTCCGAGCATCATCCTATCCCGTACCCATCCCTGAATCCCACCATCGCGCATCGGTACCCAAACCACCCCCAGCATCCACATGCCTCAGCCCCAAATTTTCCCCAGATGCTCATTGGGACTCCCCACATCACCGACAGCAACACCCTAGATGGGGGGAAGAGAAATTTTTGGCAACGCTTCCGGAAAGGAATTTTATTGCCTTTTTTTTTTTTTTACCTTAAAATCAGTAGGCACTTGGAGCTTTGGGGTGTTGAGTCCGAAAAGCACATCCAGCCCCACAAACATTAGTATGGACATAAAGATAGAGAAATCGCTAATGAGTTTACGCAGCTGCCGGGAGCGAGAAAAGGGAAAAGAGGGGGAAAAAAATAACAAAAAAGGAAGGAAAAAAAAGGAAGGAAAAAAAAGTCACAGAATTAGAATATTCCCCCAGAAAAGACAAAGTAGCTTTTAAGAAGGTGCCCGGACACCGCAGGAGCTGTGATTTTCCCCGAAAACCAGTGAGGAGCTGGAAAGAGACCACGGGAAGAGAAGTGAGGGGTCTGCCCCCGGTGCGGCCGAACCTTGATGATACTGGGGATATGGAGCTTAGGGGTGTCCAGTCCGAAACAGGCATCCACTCCGCAGAAGAGCAGGATGGAGAAGACATTGGAAAAATCAGCAATGAAAGCCCTGACCTGGAGGCAAGACGGGGAAACGGGAGTGGAAAGGGTAATTAGTGGGATGGAGAGGTTAATTAATGGGATGGAGAGTTTGCTCCTGCTTCGGCATCCTTTCCTGGGGCTTCCCAGCTCCGCTTGCCCACGGGTAACCCGGGTACAACCCACAAAATGCAGATTTTTTTTTTCCCCCTTTGCATCACAAGGCGATGGGTTATTCAGCACACAAGAGCCAAATCAGTGGCTAAAAGCTGGGGGAGGATTCCCCTAATTGCTACCAACATCTCCTAGAAATACGGATTTATTTTCCTGCAGCTCTTTGCATCCAGCAAAGAGACCGACACCTCCTGTTCGTCCCACCTTTTGGAAAAGAGGAGGGTAAACCCCGGCGCTTTCCTTACCTTGGTGGGGAAATAGCGGCTGAATTTGAATTTTTTCAGGGTCAAGGTCATGGAGTAGGTCCCGAAGAAGAGGATGAAGGACATAAGGGCCAGGTCGGGCACGAATTTACAGGATTTCCCCACTAAGCTGCCGCCGTATTTGAGACACTCCTTCTTACTCAGCTGAGTCCAGTCCAGAGCTGTTAGGTTAATAGCATTGTACTGGGGAGAAACCCCCCCAAAAAAGCAAAATTAGCATTTTAAGTAACTGCAGCATGCAAGGAAAGGGGTATTTCCCAGCCAAAAGGCAAAATTAGGATTTTAAGCAATTGCAGGGTGCAAGGAAAGGGGTATTTACCGGCCAAAACCCCCAAATTAGCATTTCTAGCAATTACAGCACGCAAGGAAAGGGGTATTTCCTGGCCAATAAAAAGCAAAATTTGCAGTTTAAGTCATAGCAGCATGCAAGCAAAGGGCTGCTATTAATTTGGGAAAAGAAGTGGGGATTTGGTGCTGCCGAGCCCAACCGTGAACCCCAATCAATGCAAACCCCGCATCTCCCTTGCTCCAAGCCGGCGCACATCGCTCCCTGGATGCCAAAGTCCCTGGGATTCGCCCTCCCTCATCCCAGCCGTCCCATCGGGATGAGCAAACTCGCTTACCAGAGAAACGTTAGTGGTGTTTGGTGCCACTGGAGCTGAAGCATCGAACAAGGTCGCGTTGGCTGCGGGAAAGGAGTTGGTTATTGAGGTTTTTGGCTAATTTCGAGGTTTGGGTATTAAAAGCAGCCGGGCTTCACCCGGAGAGGCACGGCTGAGCCCGGCTGGCGTAAAAGCAAACGCGGGATCGAGCGCATCCTCCGAGAGCCACGCGGGAATCAGCAGCCCGAGGGCAGAGCAGAATTTGGGGAGAAACCCCCCCATTTCTAACCCCGCAGCGACTTCTCCCTGATTAATCCCATGCGCCGGCGGAGGACGCGGCTTCTCCTTCGGCGGCTTCTCCCTCCGGAGCTGGCAAGTGCCGGGGAGGGGAGGTATTTTTAGAGGCTTCCCAGTTCCTAAAATTTTTAGGAGCTTCCTGGGGAAGCCGCCGGCAGCGGGGTCGAACATCCCGACACCTGCGTCTTAAAACCACGGGGGTAGAAGAAAAAGCAGCCTGTTATTTTTGGAGAGCCGGCACTCAATCATGCCCGAATTGCTTTTTTGGGGGTTTTTGTTTCTTTTTTTTTTAATAAAAATTTAGGGGTGTTTTAGTGTCTCACTGCAAAAAAACATCCTTTCTAGCCCCCGGCACCTTCTCCTCCAGTGCAAAAAGCGGCTCCGCTCGGCTCTTCGGGCGACGCAGCTCCGCGGCTTC